GTGTGTGTGTGTGTATGAGTGTGTGTGTGTATGTGTGTGTGTGTGAGTGTGTGTGTGTGTGAGTGTGTGTGTGTGTGTGAAAGGGAGAACAAACATGTTGGGGTTCGAGGTGTACATACAATATATTACATATATTGAACGGGCCTGAGGAAGGACAGCGGTGCGTACATGTGGTACAAAAGTAAAGTTGGCTTCAAAACATGACGAGATCACTCACACTGGCTCAAGACACGATCCTTCTCATACTTTACAAATTTAAACAAAAAAGAAACAAAACTCGTAAATATCTCTTTATATATTTAATCTTCATAGGTGCTGACAGGTGGAATGAAAAATTATATCAAATAAATGAGTAAAAAAGGCACCCCCCCCCCCCCAACCAAATACAAACCCAACAAGCACATCTACTTCGCGTGTCTGTCCCTGACACATCTTTAGAGATGTCAGTAATACCTGCTGGCGTTATCAGAAAACCACACTCTTGACCACTGACTGAAGGGTCCGTCCTCCTTTTATTCAGCTATAATAACTAAGACTGGCTGCCATTAGCCATCTCACTTTTTCGACATCTGGCAGCTTTGAAGTATTTCAAGAGCAATCCTTGCACGTCGTGGCGGAACTCCATGACCTCGAGATCGTCAAGCTTTCTCAGCGTAGGCAGCAAACTGCGAAAGAAGTGTTCGTTTTCATCCGTGTTTTTCTCTGCTTGCTTCTGCAACTGCAAGAACCACTGAGTCTGCTGCTGGATATTATATCGAAGATCTGCGTAATTATCGGCCATCGACTGACCGGAGCGTCGGGGTTTTTTGAACGGGTTCGGAAAATCGTTGTTGTTCTCTAAAATGTCAGACGGGAAACTATCTTGTGACTGTTGGTCGTCTAGCATTGGTAAGTCTTTTCCCAACATTTCTGAACCGTAGTCGTCGTCTTCTGGTTCTTCTACTTCTTCTTCGTCGTCCTCCTCAGTGTCTGGGGGAGGTTTAACCACGGTCGACACAGAAGACGTTTCTGGCATGGTCATGAAGGGCGTGAGGAAGCTGAGAGTGTCGAAGAGCCACCATCTTTTCTTCTTGAGAGGCCGGTTACTGGCAGCGGCCAAGACAGACTCCTTGAGCTTCTTCTGAAAGTAGTCCCGCATGGTCACCCAGCGGCCTTTGCAACACCAAACTGCAGAAAAACAAGGAAAACGGGAGATGAGGCTTTGGAAAAAAATTAAACAAGTACATGTATTGTACATGTATATTGGCAATAAGATTAATTGGAACAATTTGAGCAGTGTGCCAATGTTTTCTTCTAACGTTTTAAGAAAAATTGAAATAAATTGTTGGATTCCGTCTTTTTTTCATCTCTTCCGCTCTCTCCCTCTTCTTCTTCTTCTTCTTCTTCTTCTTCTTCTTCTTCTTCTTTTTCTTCTTCTTCTTCTTCTTTTTCTTCTTCTTCCCCTGTATCTCTGTGGAATAATGAACAGACTCTTCGCTGTTGCACACAGATGAGGACAATTGACTTTGGTGCCAGCCAAGTAAACTTACCACCGGGATTCTGTATGCCACACAATTCAGATGGTGCTGACAAGCAGTGTCAAAGCAACCCAAACCCAAAGTGACCCAAATTGTGTTAATGGGGGAGTAAATATCTTTACAATGAATTAAAATTCTTTTTGCACGGAAAAAAATCTAGCTTTTTTTCACGCCCACTTATAAATATTCCCCTTTATAATAACAACAACCATGATGTATACGTATGTGCAATTGTATTTTCTTTTCTTTCTTCTCTGTTCTTCATTTGAAGCTTAAATGGTAATCTTTATCAGCGATATATATTTGCATTTTCGATTAATCTAAAATCCGCGTCAACGAGGAACGCATAACCCAAAACTACAGGAACAAATAGAAGGAGCTGACCATCAGAGAACCAAGATATCGAAGTCCGTGAGAAAACAGGATAAAGCCACCTTTCCATGTGTACGTAATGCGTAAAGAACGTTTAAATGGAAATTCAACTAAAGTGTACCCATATGTGTGTGTGATGCGTTGTCCGTGATGCGTGATGCGTATTCGAACGATCGAGGCATCGTTCGAACACGAATCACTCAGGTATACGGACACCGGAAGCTAGAAATTCCAGATGATTTACAAGCACTATGTGTTTCAGCCGTTTCGTTTTCATCAAAGTAATATTATACCGGTATCACAAAATGCCTCGAAATTTCGTCCCAGATGATGTCCTGGATCAATTAATTGATCTTGAGAGGCAAAATCTTGCCATTTTTGATCCGTCCAGGAAAGGCCACAAGGATGCTCTCACGATTTCGGAACAGCATTGCTGACGTTCTACGATGAGAGGGGAAAACAAGTATACAGCCTCTGTCCTCCTGTAGGCTGTGGGTGCCTTGTACTTGTACTTGTATTACCACAAACAAGAAGCTGCGCATGCACTGTTCTGTTTTGTGCTGAATTTGTTCTAAACGTATAGATCTACATATCTAGACCAACAGAAATTGATGATGACGACGACGACGACGATGATGATGATGATGATGATGATGATGATGATGATGATGATGATGGTGATGATGATGATGATGATGATGATGATGATGATGATGATGATGATGATGATGGGGTCAATAAAGTTAATATTTCAGGAGTTCTTCCGTTTAAAAGATTTATTCCTTCCGTGTGTTTTAATCGTAAGATAAGAAGAACTCGTGGAGTATTGACTACATTTAAATGTGTACGTGTAATGTTTATGCAAAAAAATGCACGATGTCAACAAACGGAAAGGAACTGGCCTCCCTACCACAATAGGCCGAGGGCCCAGGAAGTTGTCTCACTAAACAAAGCAATCCTCAAATTCCGGATTGGATGCCATGCGGGAATAACTTTACTTTTACATGAAAATACAAACAATTACGAGTAAGAGCCTTCATACATACAATTAAACTATTTATTGTGTCATGTTTTGGTTCTGTTTTGATACAGGTGATTTCTGGAAAATTAGATGGCCTACAGAACAAACTGACGGATCACGAACGTTAATATACACAAAAACATAGAAAAGGGTAATAATATGCATTACGCATAACACATTACACACAACGCATTACGTACACATGGAAACGTGGCTTAACTCATAGCTGGCTATACGATACAATAAAAGAGCAGAGAAATGCTTGTCAGTCATTGCCAGAGGCCGTAATAAAACGATACATGCATGAAATATGCATTATAAGGATGTGTTCTTTTGGCTTGGCTCCACTTTCAGGCAAGCACCTCACAGATAAAGGGGTAAAAAAGTGGTACAAATGTACTATATAACTGGATGTTTTCGAGCGGTGTACACGATGCCAACGGAGCTTTAGAACCATTTGTGAAGTAAGGCGCGGGGGCTCTCGTGGTCTAGAAGTTAAGGTATTGGCCTCTCATTCAAAGGTCCCAGGTTCGAATCCGGGTAGCGACGGAAAAAAAATTCTCTTCTCTAAAATTGTCTCCTTTCTTCACCTCCTTTCCTTCTTTCTAGCAATGTTCTTCGTCTACTTTCGTCTCCACTCTCTGCCCCCATCCCCTATCTCCTCTGTCCCCTCCTCTGGGCTCCTGACTGTTTCTGCAGCCTTTCTACTGCTTCTCCTTGGCTTCTTACTGTTGTCTTTCAAACACATCTCTGATCTTCTGGTAGAAAAGATCTACACTTTGCCTTCTCGGACAAGGGTGAAAAATCTCAGATGTCTCGTGTGCAAGTTGTGCACGTTAAAGACCCCTTGGTGGTCTTAAATCGATAAAAATAGGCTTTTGCCGCCACCCGGGCAAAATTCACAATTTCCTAATAACTGAACATGTTTAATGTGTCCCCTGCACTTATATTATGACCTTATGTGGTTGCGAGCGCTGTAAAACATTTACAAAAAAAGAGAGAGAAGTAAGGCGTTTTAACTAGACCAGTCAAAACGTGTACTCACCATGGGTGTATCTTACCACTTTGTCAAGCGGTCCATTTCCAAAGTGACATGGTTATTAGATGGGTGTACACACCTATGATGACCTTGTTGGATTAACTACACACACATTCAAGATGACCTATTTGAGTGAAAGCTCCAAGATGACCTATTTCAGTGCAAACCTCCAAGATGACCTATTTCAGTGCAAACCTCCAAGATGACCTATTTCAGTGCAAACCTCCAAGATGACCTATTTCAGTGCAAACCTCCAAGATGACCTATTTCAGTGCAAACCTCCAAGATGACCTATTTCAGTGCAAACCTCCAAGATGACCTAGCTGCATGCACAACTCGAAGATGACCTATTTGGATGCACACCTTCAAAATGACCTAGTTGAGTGCACACTTTCAAGATGACCTAGTTGGGCGCACACCTCTATGATGACCTAGTTGTTTCTATAGTAGGGTGTCAACCTGGACCAACCAAAATGTATGTATGTACTCACCATCAGAGCCCATTTCCTTGGCCACCTCCTTCCAGGACCGGGTGATGAACGGTCGGTTGTTGTAGTTCTTGTCATTCTTGTCGTAGATGGCGCTGTGTTTCCGGACAGTCGCGATCAGTTTCTCGTCGTCCATGTCGTAACGCATTGCCGACGACATTGATTATCGTCAGTCGTGAGCGGCTCTCAGCCTCAGATTTAGCCCGTGGTGCCTTTCCGCCCCTGTCTCGGGTGTCTTCAGTCCGGGGTGTCTGTCGGCTTTCAGTGTCTTTCGCTTTCAGTCGAAGCGTCGTGCGTCTTCCAGTCCCGTGTCTCTGAGCCTTATGTGTCTCTCAGTCACGTCAAATACTTGTCTCTCTCAGTCAAAGACTTGTGTCTCTCAGTCAAATTTTGTGTATATATTTACAGAGAGAGAGAGAGAGAGAGAGAGAGAGAGAGAGAGAGAGAGAGAGAGAGAGAGAGAGAGAGAGAGAGAGATCTATCTCCCAGTCAAAGGCTCGCCTCTTAGTCAAAGCTTTGTAAAATCTCTCAGTCAAAGCGTGGTGTCCCTTAGTCTAAGCCTTGTGCGTCTTTCGGTCTCATTGCTGTATGCGTTCCAGCCACGTACGTCTTTCAGTTTCATGAGACTCATGTATTCTTTCAGCTTTGGGTGTCTCTCAGATTCAGCCTTATAATAATATGTCGCTCAGCCTCAGGTGTCTCTCAACCTCAGTCTGTAGTGGGTATCCCAGTCTCCAAAGCACCGGTATTGAGTGGATCTCCCAGAGTGGACACTCCATCAGACACCAGGGAACACACTGAATACTTTCGCCGTTAACACGGACGTTATGACGGCATTTGTGAGAATCTTTTCGGAGAGCACGGTTTGAACTTTCCGGTTCTGTAATCTGTGGCGACAGTAGTTCTGTATACCATTAAATGCATCAAGTCCAGGCTGTCAAAGTTAAACTCCTCAGAACATGGATGTTTTGGTCAATATAAAGATCCTGTAAGTAGGCCTACAATAAAGTCACCGCATCAGTCAACGTTAGATTTAACACATGTTCAGTTTGTCTCTGTCCCTCTCTCTCTCTACCGGCTCCGGCTTCGCGTTCGTGCGGTGTCGCCACGTAAAAAAAATGGCGCGCTCGGTATTATTTAGCGCCCGGACGTAAAACCAGTTAGTTCAATTCGAAAACCTTCTATCCCTCACTAGACTGCAAGTTTCCCGTTAGGACGCTTTCACTTTGCCTGTCGCTTGGTTCAGTTGGTTTGCTGGTGTCGGTTCAAAGGGCGCCATCTCGCTGCGCATGATCCTGCTCTTAGGACGCTTTCACTCCCAGCACTGTGCGTTGCCGTCCGTTCAATACAAACACGGTTGTCGTTCAGTGTGCGTGCGTCAGCGTGCTGTACTGTACCACCAGTGAACGTTCGGAAGAGAGCTGCGGCCAAGTAGCCTACACAGCGCGGGAAGGTCGAGAAAAGGCAGTTGCTGTCTGTGTGTGGGCTGTGGGCTTCTCGCACAGTCTCATTATCCGACTCCTCTCCTTATGTCTGTTCCTGTGTGAGTGCTATGTTGCTATGTTCGTCATGAGCCAGGGATGGTGTGTGTGTATGTGTGTGTGTGTGTGTGTGTGTGTGTGTGTGTGTGTGTGTGTGTGTGTGTGGATGTGGTTGGGGGGAGGGTGATCATTGAAAAGTCGTCATTGTCTTAAGTTCTGGTTATAATCTACTCCAGCATCCGCCAACTGCCATAACTCCCAATTAGAATCTAGACTGGAGATCCAAATAATGTTTTTTTTTTCCCGTCACGTATCTTTATGGAATTTTACGAACAGTTGTATTTAAAGTAAAGTGTAAATTGTAGCTGTGCAAAAATAAACTTTCACCTCCTTGAAAAAAAGCAAACAACCATACAAATTAACTCCAAAATAAAACAGCCCTTCAAAAACAACAACTACAACAATGGAAGGAAACAAAACGGCAACAAAATCCTTGGCCTCGCGTGCCCTTTAAACAATAGCCATTTGATATCAAATTATAAGAGAGACAAAGCTTTACTGTCGTTTTTCCAACGTCCTTGTCTGGAATGTATGTTTGACGTAAATCTTTAACTTTAAGTTACTGCTGAATGAAATGCGTTGTGATCATGAGGCAGAATATGGTGGCTTGTGTAGCGTTTTATGTGTGTGGATGTCTTTGTGGGAAATATGAGCCACTTGAATTTGCAATCAAACTGCGTCAACCGTTGCAATATTCAACTCAGGAATATCAAAAGTAATATGATGTTCAGATTTCAGTATCCACTTCTTCAAGACTTCCTTGAATCGTTTGGCACAGTTTTTGGTCCTACTGTAAGCAAGCCATAAGTGAAAAACATGTCTATGGTCGGTGTTACAGTAACCCCCCCCCCCCAAAAAAAAACAACAACAAAACAACAACAACAAAAAAACAAAACAAAACAAAACAAAACAAAAAACAACAACAACCCCAAAAGACTACAACAACAAAGCAACGGGATTTTATAATTCCTGACATGACCGATTAAAACAGCTACTGTATCTCTCTCTCTCTCTCTCTCTCTCTCTCTCTCTCTCTCTCTCTCTCTCTCTCTTACTCTCGCCCTCTGTCGCTCTCTCGCTCTCACTACCCACCCCCTCTCTCTCCCTCCTTCCTGCTCCCCCCTTCCCCCTGAATGGTAAGGAAATGAATTCTGCATTTATTTTCAGGTCAGGAGATGCCAGGCGCGGTTCGTCCATAGAGCACGGTCGTGCAGTGCCGCCCAAAATGTTTTAATGTTCTATTACGTAAAGCACCCACAATAATAAAATAAAAGACGCCAGAAACAAACACTTGCCAAATATTATATCAAACCAAGGTCCTCGCTGGCGCCGTAATTGTCATTTATGTGTCTATAGCGCCGTAAAACATCTTCTATGCCATGCCAAAGTTCCTCAAATGTGCTCCTGCCGAATAGTGTCGAAACATAACCCACAGTAGGCAATCTAAAATTAAACGCGATAGACTATGCACTATTCTATGCCAAAATTATGTGAGCCCCGGAGCAATCGAGTGGAGTGCTCAAGTGAATTGTGATAGGTTCATTGTCTTGCCGCTATTTTATGTGACTCTGTGACCGTGAACCCAAGGGAGGTGAACGTGACACACTTAAGTCACCGTCCTATGAGTTGTGCTTTTGAATGGTTTTGTAGTGGAGAGGTGAACGTTAACACTTGGGTGTTCAGTTTTAATGCAGGATGAATGAAATTGACGTTTAGCTAACAAACAGATTTAGTTCTAGAAGTCAAAGCCACAAGTGAAAAGAATTGAAAATAGAATCACAAGGTTCTCCCTCACCAACCCAAAGGTCTTAAAATTATACACCACCTCATTCTCTGTGCCCTTGACTATCTTCAACCTAAGATAGCTTAATTGTGCACGCCCACTTTTTAGACCCACGAGCCGCCCCTGGGAGATGCCAAATTTTCGTCTAATCTCAAGTTATGAAGTACCACATTGCAGCCATGTTGCCCTGACAGTGACCACAACCACTTCGGTGCCCAAGCGCGGCCGTGTTCCCTGAGTGCGACCAGAAGCGTGACTTGGACGCGGCTGTTTACATTTTGCAATGCTATCGCCATTAACAAACACACGAAGATAATAGGAAATTAGACATTCTATTGTAACAATAAGAAACATTAAACATATACTTATTTCTGAGCCTGAACCGTCATATTATTTAGAACTCAAAAGACATAAAACGCGAGAGGAAAAGATTGAATAGACTGGGATTCGTTTGCAACAACTGGAATAATGGCCTTTTGGGATGAACGGAACAGTTCTTATTTCCCGTTCATAAAACATTTTGTTTAATTCACAGGTTTAGGAATTAGAAATGTATTCCAGGTGCACGTAGGCCTTCTGGTACTAGGTACATGGCCCAAACTGAGTCGATAGTGCTGTAAAATATCTACCCTAGCAAACAAATACTACACTTCAGGCCAAAGCGAAAACACAAATTCTGAAACATATATAATTATCTTGAAGTTGAGATCAGCACTTCAGAACTTCCTTTCGCAAATAGACATTCTGCCGTCATCCCCTTGGTTTTTCCAAATTAGCTAGACTGTAGACTGTTAATAGCGAGGTAATGTGTTTTATCCGGCAACCACCGTTATACAGTGTTTGTCTGTATCTATGCTCCACGTTCACCATACCCTCTTTCCCCCTTCCCTCCAC